TTTTTCTTACATACCCTCTTTTTTGCATAGAGTTTTTACATTTTTGGTGGGGCTGATTCTTGAATAACACATTTGCACAGAATTAAAACTTGTGATAATTTGAGCCTATTTACATATCTGAAAAAAATGTGGAGTATTTTTATGTAGATCTATTTGTTACAAGATGCTACTGCTCAGAGATCCATTAGTGCTTCTGTCAACATATGTGTGCTTAAACTTAAATGTCAGGCTTTGGCAATAATTTATGTGTAAGCAGTCAGACTTTCAAGAAGGGTTAAATATACTTGCCCTAAACAGTATTTAGCTATGTATGTGCCACTTTTTCTGAAGATAAATTGTGGCAAAATGTAGGAGTTAAAATAATATTGAGAAGCAAAACGAATGATTAGATGGAAGAAAAGATATCTTATTTGCAAAGAATATTTCACTTGGGAAATTACTGAAAATTATAGATAATGATGTTTTTCATCTGGATTGTAATTTTGCAAATGGATAGGCTACCATTTAAAACAGTAAATATTCTTTTTTCTTTCCATCCCCCCCTGCATTTTAAAAACAGAAAATGAGATGTCGTTCTTTGATCTAATCTAGAAAAAAAGTAAAAGATATTAATTGAAAATAGAAATGATGAATAAAACTTTGGTACGAATTGTATCATTTATTTTGCACTATTTTAATCTGAAGTGTTTTTCATGTACATCTGGCCAACAATGGTTACTGCACAGCAGATCTTTGAAATGATACAAATGACAAGCTCCATGTATCAGGAATGATTTCCATGTCTTTTCCATCAGGTCTTACATTAAATGTCCTATATGTATTGGGAGTGGCTCTTGAATCTTATGTATGATTTCCTACTAGCTTTCAGATTAGAATAAAAGTTGGCAACATTTTTTGATAGATGGTATATGAATATATTATTTGTTTTATATTTGATGGAAATATTCATATATATATATATATATATATATATATATATATATATATATATATATTTACTTGGAGTGATGTGAGTTTGTGACCCTGGGTTTCACGCTCTCAGAGATTGTCAGACAAACTAATTAATTTTTGAAATTTTGGATTTATTTATGGTTGCATATATCAGTGTTTTATGCTAGTAGGAGGAAAAATTGTTGTCTGCATGCCACTCATACATACGCAGAAATACATACACGCATGTTAACACACTACAGCTCACATAAACATATATACGTTTGCACACACATTCACACACCTTCTATCTATCTGTATTTTTTTTTTCTTAACATGGGGTCTGTGTAAGATTATGGAAGGTAAAATTGTTATTATTTTTAATTTTTTAATGCGATTCTATTATTATTTTAGAGCCATTTATTTGCTTGTTTTTGGTGATTGCTCTCATATAATTGGTATTTATGCGGTGGTATTAATTTTGCTGGGGTGGGGAGGAAGTATAATTGTGGACTAATGTGGTAATGGTAATTGTGGTGCAGTAGTAATGGTGGGAGGAGCAGGTGATGATAATAACAATTGTAACAGCAAATAGTTATGGTAAAATGGTAGAAGTAATTGTAGTAATGGTGGTGGAATGGTAATAACAATTATTATGATGGTAGTTTGAATTAGAAAATAATTGATGGTGTTATGATGTTAGTGGTTTCTCTTTTCATGTTCATAGGGTCAATAGTGGTTTATGTATCAGTGTTGTTTTTTTTTTTTATCTGTTTGGTATAAATTGTGATAACAGGTATTTGTTTTCATGTGTGCATTTAGAAATTATTTCTGATCTTATGTTTAGTAATTTCCAGGGTCACAAACTCACATCAATCCAACTAAATATGTTAGCTCTATTACTGATATTGAGCGCTTTCCAATAAGTACCATGCATATATGATATATAAATAATATATATATAAAAATTGCATATATATATTTGTATTTATATACATACACATTTTATATATATATATATGATAAAAACATAGTTCTAAGTTACGCTATATTTATGTGTAAAAGGTACTCAATATCAGAGATAAAGTATATGTAAATATAAAATTAGACACTGAAGTTAACACTGAGTAGTGACAGTCAATTGTTTATGGTGTGAAGATTGAGTTCAAGTATGAAACACATTGTCGCTGGTTTACCTCAACGTCCACTTTTATATATATATATATATATATATGATATAACTATATAATTTTGTGTAATTTTATATATCAACACACAGTACTTAGAAAAATAGTATGTAAATTGTAAAAAATATCTATATATCTAGCTATACACACACATATAAAGATATATAAATATATATATATATATATATACACACACACACACACATGGTGGAGTAACGGATAACAGCTCGGATTGAGGAATCAGAGAGCCGAGTCCAAATTCTAGTTGAATCCATTACATTCACTTATGTGCCAATAGCCTTGGGAAAGGTATGAATACTCTTTTTCTCCCACCAGCTATGGGTAAATAGCAGGACAGGCTGGGTTCTATAGACTTGGATGGCAGCAGGTCTAGGAGGAGGACAAGTCTGAATTCAAAACCTGCAGAGGGTTGTTTGGTGCAACAGGTCTCTGTATTCGGCTCTTCAAAAAGTGTGGTTGGTTTTATACAAAACCTTCACCGCTATAATCAAATCCGATGTGCAGGTTGTCTGGTTGTCGGTTCTTAGGAACTCAGTTGCCTGCCCCTCATACATCATAAAAAAATTCCCAGTAGACACAAGTCAACAGCCCAATGACAGGAGAGTCAATGATATACATATAATATATATATAGAACCTGTAACCCTAATGGGAACTGTCATTTGATCTGACTTGCTGTTAACCATTCAGCCCCAGAGAAGTGTCTAAAGTCCAATTTACTGTTTATAAATACACACCTTTCATGGTTTATAAGATAAATATATATATATATATATATATATATATATATATATATATATATATATAATACAAATATAATACATATATATATAATATACATATAATATATATATATATAATATATATACATATATATAATATATAATAATAATATATACATTTATATGCAATATATATATATATATATATATATATATATATAGAGAGAGAGAGAGAGAGAGAGAGAGAGAGACCATGTTGAGATGAAAAACTGATAGTCTCTATGTCTATACAATCCCTATCTATAAATGCTCTATCTTTGAGTTTGAGCACTCTTCCTCAATAAATAAAACAAATTTTAAACAATGCTGTATCTAAGGAATCAATGGATTTCTCATCCAACATTATTTCCTACTACTCCCAACAACTTTCTGGATACTCATGTTTAAGTAGATTGTCTAAATTCTATCCACAACCCTGTGTATTTAAGATACTTAATAAAGAAAAATGAATGTCCCTGAATACATTTTCTTTATTAAGTCTCTTAAATGCACACACTAGTAGATGTAATTTAGACTGTTTATAAAAACAGGGTGTCAACTCAAACAGGGGTAAACCACAGAATAACATTTTGAGTAGTAGGAAATATACAATTATATTTGAGCATGCTGAAAATCTATCAGCCTGGAAAAGACCCCTACATTCCCTAAAAGAACCTGATGATTGTTCATTTTGGCAGAATTCTAAGCATTCACTTTTATATATAAGGTTTTATGTCAATAAACTATTTGCATAAAAGATGGTTTAATGCAAGGAAGTAAAAAAGGAATTGCTTCCATCCTGTCTCCTATAATGTATAGTCATTTCAGATTTTTGGGATTGCAGCAGAGATGTTGGTAAATAATAAATAGCATAAATACTTATTCTTCCTCTTTTTCTCTCAGTGTGTCTATCAAGGGGAATATGTTTACTTTGGTGTTTATATATAAGTATGTACAATGTTACTTATTCAGACATGTATTTGTATACTCATGTGTGTGTGTGCATATATATATATATATATATATATATATATATATATTATATGTGTGTGTCTTTAATGGAAATGTATTAAAAATTAAATAAACCTAGAGAAAAATATTAATATTTGAGCTTTTATAGCAACATATACACATACATATATATGTGACTGCATATACAGTGCAGGAAATAAGTCATTGTACTTCATTTTGAAAAACCTTCTTTAAAATCCTTCTGCAAGAATTTATCAATTGATTTGATTTTTATGGATTATCAACCCTTTGTAGTTTATTTAAAGCTGATTGTAATTCTTTTTTGTTTTGCCAGTAAATATTGCATTAACAATTTTTTGCAAATAACAATGATTTTTCCAGGTATAAGATTTATTATTTAACTCACAGCAGTGGGGGAGGATATTCATTGCGCATTGTTATGGGACTGTACCCATAATAACATAATGGACTATTCCATACATAATAAATACTGTGCCTGAAGAGGAAGCAGAGAGTTCAGTCTGAAGTCTGGAGTGAAGTCCGTCAGGAGTCAGTCAGTCGAGTCAGAGGCAGTCGAAACAGAGTCGCGTTCAGACAAATTACTACTAAACCTGATTGTTTGTACTAACACTTTTCTACCTCCCTGTATATATTCTTGTTTGTAATATATCTGTGTTATTTCATATCCGCATTCAAGTTCTTCTTTATTGGTTCTACCTTGGACTATCAACCTGGTACAAGGAACTGGACCATAACACATTTAATGTAATTAATGTAATTAACCCCTCTGAAATTTGAACTCTACTTTCAGGTTTCTCATTCTGAGCCACTATCAATTACCCCACCTGCACATCCATAATGCAAAGATTGATTGATATTTTTAATGGCTTATCAACCATTTGCAGGTTATTTAAAGCCAGAAAACATTCTTAGATTTTAAGAATTTTTTGGAGATGATAATCATTTTTACTGATACAATTGTTAACATTTAACCTATAACTGTGGAGAGAAGATGGATTCTCAAGAGTTTTTGAGTATAAATGAAAATATTGAACCAAAGTGGAATTAGAACGCTGCTCTCCGATTTCCAATTTCAAGCTGTTATTCATTACACCACTTGCACATCCAAGCTTACAGCCTCTGATATTCCCCAGTGGTTACCCGTCTAGGTCTTGACCAGGCTCAGTGTTGCTTAACTTTGGTGATCGTATGAGAACTGGTGTTTCAATGTGATATGGCCGTAAGCCCATAAATGCAATGAAGATGTGTGGGTAGCTTAATGGTTAGTAACACAGAAAGTGGAATCAGCGAGACAAGTTCAAATTCATATATAGTCTGTTGCACTCACTTTTGCACAAATGCCCTTGGGAAAGGCATGAATTTATCTCAGCCAATCTAATAGAACGACTATTAAACTTGGGATAAAAAGGAAACATGAAGCTATCCCACTATTTTCCCAGCAAGTCCTGGAAACTTTCAGATAATAAAGAAACAGAAACTGTTAAGAGCCATGATCACATAAATCCAAAAGTATCATGGCGTGTAAGGAGGTCCTTGTTCAATATGTCTTAGTACATCGCTTCATTCATTCTTCCTTTATATAAAATAATCCTGTAACATTAAAAACAATCTCATGCCATTACATTGCCAACTACATGTGTCACAGTTGGGATGGTTTCTTCTTCTTCCAAATATGATAATGTGAATTAAGGTGCAATCACTCATCTTGGTCTCATCAAATTTAAGTCTATTATTAAAGTAACTATCAAAGCTTCATAAACAATTCTAATCAAACTTCAGATCTGCCTCTAGATGTTGTTTCTTCAGAAGTAATACATTTCATGCTCTACAAGATATGGCAGTGTCTAATTGTATTCTCTGATACTTGGATATATTCTATAAACTCATTACAAGTAATCTTTGGCTATACCATTCTTACAATCCTGCTTGCTCTATGGCTTGAAATCTTTTCAAGGTTACCAAGTTTGATGATAGCTCACTGTCCAGCTTTGTTCCTTTTACTTGGAAACTGTCAGTGTGCAGATTAAATTGCAGTTTTTTACCAATGACTTTGAAACCTTTAACTCATTGATAAAGACGATGTTATCTCTGAGTTCTGTAAATTGTTCCTGAAATTTGGCATTGTGGTTGTTACTGCAAAAGTGATTAGCAGTCAACCAAAGCATAATTCAAGAAAGTTATAATCTTTTCAAATAACAATGTAGTTTTTCACCATCAGCCTAGAAATTTTTAGTTTACTACTTCATACTGATTTCTTTTTGGTTTCATCTTTTTTAAGTCTCTCTTTTATAATTCTATAGAAATGTATTTGAAGGTTTTTCACATTTTCTACTATTAAAAGACAGAACCTATTTGTGATGTCATTTTAAAGGAAATACTTAATATATCTGTAAGTAAATAATGAAATAGACTATTTTTGTGGCATATATTGCATACTTATATTCCCCACTGAGTATCTGTTTCTATGCATTTTATTTTGTGTTCATATAAGAATGCTTAGTGTGTGTGCATATATATATATGTGTGTTCATAATCGTATTTCTGTTGTGTACACATGTATGCATATTCTTGCTTAGGAAAGAATGAAATAGTTATGCGCAATTACTTGTCTGGATCTATTATGATCATTTTATCAGCAGCATGTATTATCATTATCTATAATATATTTGTGTGTACATGTGTACATATATATATATATATTGCATGTACATGTGTACATATGTGTGTATAAATATATATACAGGAGTGATATATGAATACAAAATATCACACACTGAGTGTTGGTGTTAATAAAATAGTGCTTGATGTATAATAAGAGAGCTATATATATATATATATATATATATATATATATATATATATATATAGCTTCATGTGCATCTGGTTAGCATGGTCAAATTATTGTTTTTAAACTACAAATATATATATATATATATATATATATATATATATATATTTATATATATACACACATGCACATATATATATTTACACACACATACATTATATATACACAAACACACACACACATATATATTTACACACACATACATTATATATATATATATACACACACACACACAAACATATATACATACAGACATACATATAAACATTCGTACAGTATATATATGCAGTATGCGATAGATAAATTGTCATGTAAAAATAAAATAACACTGATATCTCATTTTAACAGATATATTTACCAAAATTACACAAACATATCTTGAAATACTAAAGAGAAAAGTTATTCAATAAACTTGACGTTGGCTTCAACCACGGCCTCCAGACAATTTTGGAACCTCCTGCAACTCATCTGGATGGTCTCCTTGTTTAAGTTGGTGACTGCTGCCATAATCCTTGCCTCCAGTTCATCTTTGTTGTTAACAGGAATTTTGTTGGTCTCTCACTCAACTGTGCTCTACACATAATAATCAAGAGGGTGTCAGTTTGGAGAGTTATGTACACAGATGTAAAGGGTGATGTGGTAGCAGAAATTGTCTGACAGCCATGGGTTTTCCAGCTTGTCTGGCATGGTGCAGAGTCATAATTCCAGACATAGGTTCTTCTGACAGGCACCCACTTGATTCAGGGCAGCACTACCTTCTCAAGGCACTTGATATAGGCCTCCATGTTAAGTCTGAGGCCCTCAGCAGTAAATTTGGGAGTTCTTTTCTAATCAGAATGATGAGAGTGAGTTTTCTCAGCTGCTATACCTTTGTAAATCACCAGCAGATTCATCCAACTCTTTCTAAATCCCCTCACTGTCCTCAGATACATACCCAAACACTCTGAAATGTTCATATTGAAGTTTCCAGTGTGAATTCCAAGCAGTACAGCATGCCATTTCCAAATTTCTGCTGGAGTGAATTGTGTCATGTTGCTCTTTTTCTCACAGATGGTGCCCAACTGACCCTACCATGCTATGCTGTTAACAAAATCAAAAACAAACAATACACATGCTTGAAATTAAAAACATAAAATGGCAACAATTTACTTATTGCACACTGTATAATAACAGAGCTATAATTTATATTAATAATAAATATACATTTTAGCCTCACTGATATCACAACAAACAGATTCATGTTACTGGTGATGGAATATATATATATATATATATATATATATATATATATATATATATATATATTATAATAATAGCTGGCCACTGTATTTGAGGATAACTGTCTACTAGGGCAGCTAGCCAATCCCTATTGCAGATGGTCACTCAGGCACATTTCTGTTTGCTCAACACCCACAGAGCCCACCTGTGGTTAGTACAGCAACTATGTTGAGCAGACCTTAGTTACAGTTTCTGGAAGAGAGCATATTATCTAGTGTGATCAACAATTTGTACAAGGACAGCACGCTCAAGCCCTCAGCCACAATGACTTGTGACTTTGTGTTAGCACAGTTATCGATGACCCTCAAGAGTTCCATCTGCCCAATTTCACTCACAAGTCTTGGGTCAACCTGTGGTATGGTTTTCAGGCACTTTCCAAAGGGGCAGCATGCTGGGGTCAACCTCGATCCAGCCCAATAACATCAGGAATTCTCCTTCCTGACAAATTGGCCATGGTGAGATTTGAACCTAGGTCTCATGGTCAAAATATCAAACATTCTAAAATCTCGGCCACTTGCCCACATATATATATATATATATATACACATAGAACTACATATCAGTCAATACTAATTAGCAATTAAAAGACAAAAGAACTTTTTTGAAGATAATATTAATTTGGTTTATTCACACATCACAGTCAATTGTGCACTTCTTGACCTTTACCAGAAGGCTCTGAAAATGCTTACTACATTGCACATTTAACCTTTAACAAAACTTATTCTGTCCTCTCTTTCTCTAAGCAACTAATATATTTTCTTTTACACTTTTTAGAATGTTAATTTCCATCCTCAGCAATGAGAATAGCTGTAATTGACAAAAATGGAATAGATATTATTTCTGTGGTAATATTAATATTATTTATGATAGAAAAAGATATTCTGTTTGAATACCAAAGTTGCAAAAGCCTCTTATTCACTTGGGAGCAGTTTAGGAGATATCTCATGAGGAATTCTTTCTGAACGTTTTTCTTACATTGTTGGGAACTGTTCAGATAGAACACAATTTCAGTTGTTGTCTATGGACAATTAACGCAAAAGATTTCACACCAATTACAAGTGATTAAATGTTTGAAAATCACAAACAATTACATTTTAAAAAAATATTTATGGGAAGTTTTACACAAAGATTTACACTTATTTTAACTTTACTCACACGTGTGTGTGTGTGTGCAAGGTAAAAAAGGATGATTTATTTTCTTTGTAAAACTTCCCAGAAGGATTTTATAAAAATCTTGCATTCACATGCACGCACACACACATGCACACAGTCACACATGAAAATTTATGTATGGCTAAATGTTGTTTTTGTACGTCCTTACCTTGCACCAGTAGAACAAAACAACCTACTTCAGACCATTAATGTAGAGTATTTACTATAAGTCTTTTACAGACGCATCATCACCTCTGTCTTTTCTACAAATACTTTCATGGTAATTGCTCCAATGAGTTGCTTTCACTGGTTCCCAGACTCCATGAATTCAAGCGCCCTACGAAGCTGGCATCCTGCTCTCACCCTTACACTGTAGAAACTTTTAAATGTAGCCGTCTCTTCTACTCCAATAGCTTCATACCTCGCACCTCTTGCCTGTGGAACACCCTTCCCAATTACTGTTTCCCTGAGAGCTATAATCTCCAACTATTCAAATGTAATGTCAATTGACATCTCCAGTTACCTTGATCTATCCACTATCCCTCTCCTCATCCTTTCTTCTATCGCTCCTATCTGTTCTTGCTCCAAATCTTCTGCAACCTCCTGCATCCTAGTGGCTTCACGTATTGCTCGGGGTGTAATGCTTAAAAATATATATATATATTACTAACAAATTACATTTATAACATAAACAGTAATATTTGATCTGCATAACAATTTTTAAAGGCATATTCATTTTTAAATAAAATATTTTAAAAATTTGCTTTACATAAGCAATGTTACTGTCAATAAAGTTTTTTGAATTCATCTAGTTTGTATAGAAAGAATTTATATCTGTCTTTTGTCAAAATTCAGTCCTAAGAAGACATACAGCATTCATCATAATAAGCATTGTTGTCATCTGATATTTCACATAACTACAAATTAGTTAAATGGAGTTGAAAA